TATGGGAACCATATGATGGGATAAGGGACTGAATTTCTGATTTTCTTTATGTTGTGGAAGGTAACTAATAATTATCTGATCACTGATTTTCTAGAAAACGCAAGAAAAAAGGTGATTTCAAAAGGCTGGAAGGATATCAGTCAGTTTGCAGCTTGCTAACTTCCACATCTCCTTTATCTCTATAAAGTAAGATGCTCTGCGTTATTGAAACTGAAAACTAAGTGGAGAAATCGGCTTGATGTGACAGAATACATGCAAATAAAAAGCTCTTATTACATGTTTTGATTGCACACAAACAAGACTTAAAAGCTCAATATTTGTAGCTAGCTTTTGTATTTGTGATTTGCGATTTGTGATTTGCAGTTCATATTAATAAATACAATTAAACTCTTATTACTAGTTCAGCTATTTCAGAACCAAACAATTGGCATTTTTTTGAAGTCGTACTGCTACCTAATAGGATTAGTGACAATGCTGATGTTGACAGTCAAATGAAAAAGGTATGGACATACCAATAAGGTCCAAATCCATGAAAAAGGTAAACATCATTGGTCAAAATTGCTTTAAAGCTGAATTATTATTATTATTATTATTATACAGTATTTATATAGCGCCAAAGGGTTTGCTCAGCGCTGTACAGTAGCAAGGGGGACAGAACATGAGACAAGACAGTAACAATACAATACACGAGGGGTTCGAGGGCCCTGCTCTTTTGAGCTTACAATCTATAAAATAAATATACTATATTCTAAAAATGTTCCTTGCAATTTCTGTATTGTTATGAGAAAAGGGAACTATGGGGATGATAGTAAAGTCATACACACATTTGGGTTGATTTACTAAAACTAGAGAGTGCAAAATCTGGTGCAGTTGTGCAAGGTAGCAGATCAGCTTCTAACTTCAGCTTGTCCAATTAAGCTTTAAGTTTGAAGAAAAAAAGCTGGAAGCTGATTGGTTTTTATGCAGAGCTGCACCAGAGTTTGCATTCTCTAATTTTAGTAAATCAACCCCATTGCTGGAATACAATGTTCATGTATTTTGTGTGCAACAACTACATCAGTATAAGTATTTAGTAGAGTTATATTCTTCAACCAGGAGATGGCAGTGTTTATAAGTTTATAATTGCATTTATGGTACTGTATACTCTATGTCTTCCTTTTCTTTTCTTTAAAATAAAAGTTCCTGTTTCCTGTTAGCAGAGATGCAGCAGATAAACACATGTTGACTGTGTACTGTTTGTTTTGTAGGGCTATAGATAGAATCTCTAACACACATAAATCAGGGCAGGGACTGCTGCATGCATTTGTAACACATTTTTTAAGGATCTAGAACACATTTAATAAGACATCATTATTGGCACAGGGTTCTAGTTTACAACCTTAGATACTATCCTTTGTGGCCAGACAATTGATATTTAATTATTAATTTTTTAATTGACTTAAATCATTTATAATCTGTTTCAGATTATTGCTTGGTTGGAGTGTTATTCAGCTGTATCGATGTGTCTCAAATATCAATGATGATTGCAAGCACACTTCGTTCTTACAGGGTCATTATGATGTTTTTACATCCTGCTGGCAGGAACAATGGTTTAATCATCTGCCCCATTGTGTTTCGTAAACTATTCCTTTTGTAGTTGAATCCAGAATCAGCTTTATAAACTGCATGTATCAAATTAACTGTAACCTGGGGAAAGATATTAACCTCGAAAATATTGTGAAAACGGAGGTTCATGTAGTAATTTCTTTATTGCCTCTATAAATCACATATATCCATTGCCAACGTGTGTGATACCAAATCCTTGTTCTTTGGGCTAAACTAAGTTCAAAGTATTTTGCAGCTGCCTATTGAGGAATATCGTTTTAACAAATGTTTAATAGAGTTGTATTGATGAGCCCGCAGAAATGATTAAATTGCACTTACAGCATGTAGGAAAAGAATTATACTGTATGTACGCTCTTGCTCAAATTAGAGAACTGAAGCTATAGCTTTAGCAGGGGCGGACTGAACATTTGGAAACTCGGGCACTGCCCGAGGGCCCGGGGTCAGTAGGGGGCCCCATGAGATGCCCCTGGTACCTTTTTCATAGGCTTTTTTGAGTTTGGGCAAGGACACAGGGGCCCCATGATCCCCTATTGCCCAGGGGCCCCATGAGTTGTCAGTCCGCCCCTGAGCTTTAGTGGAATGAAAACACAGTATACCAGACAATCATGCATTCTTTTCAGTGCACTGTTGTAAACTGAGAAAAGCAGCCAAAAAGTTCTCACGACTCATTCTCTTTTAAAGTTATGTCAGCAGTATGAAACTTTCCTCCTGGCCATTTTCTGCTTTGAGTTCTTGTCAGATTTATTTCCTATGAGTTTTTACATACTTTTTACCATTACATCATGTAAACATTTTTAGAGTTCATAATCTGGGTGCTGGCTTACTTTAATGACTTGATTAGCAAGTCCGCAGGGGAAAGGAAAATTTGACACCCAGCTCCACTGGCCCCCCATACTACCTCCTCTATCATTACACTTATTAGTTGGTGAAAGGAATACCTGTGTTTTTACACTAATAGAAGTGGAGTGGGATACTCCTAAACTGAATGTATTGCTGTTGGAGGACACTTCTTACTCAGAGCAGCATAAGAATAGGCAGACTCGAACAGTCTGTGGTTCACAGATTGGGACCATGAAGTAGCTTGAACAAATGTAAAGGCAGACTGGAACAATCCACAGTTCATGTGTGGGGACCATAAAGTAGCTTGAACACAAATAAAGGCAGACTGGAAAAATCCACGTTGCAAGCCTGGGGACCATGAAGTAGCTTGAACACAAATAAAGGCAGACTGGAACAGTCCACGGTTCATGGCTGGGGACCATGAAGTAGCTTGAACACAAATAAAGGCAGACTGGAACAGTCCATGGTTTATGGCTGGGGACCATGAAGTAGCTTGAACACAAATAAAGGCAGATTGGAACAGTCCACGGTTCATGGCTGGGGACCATGAAGTAGCTTGAGCACAAATAAAGGCAGACAAGAACAGTCCACAGTTCACAGCTGGGGACCATGAAGTACCTTGAACACAGATAAAGAAAGACTGGAACAGTCCATGGACCATGAAGTCGTTTTTAGTACAGAAAAGAGGATCTATTCATTGGATCCTGGTAATCAGTCCATCGGTGCAGTCTCTTGCAATATGGTCCAGCATTCACCCCAAAGAGATCCAGGGGTAAGCAGCCCCCCTCCTCTTGGCTCATAGATAAGATACAACCTCCTCAAGGCTCCAGGCTATTTACCTTCATCCTAGACACCATCTGGGCACACCAATCCAAGGGTAGGCAAGGCCCCGCTCAAAATGTAGGCCAGTCATTTAAATTCTCCATCCCTAAGCTCCAGAAACTTCTGGAGATGGCGGAAGCAATCAAATTCCCAGTCTGTGAAGCTCTAACCACCTAAGGACCAGACCAATCATTGCTCCTCTGAGTACAGCAGGACCCAAAAATTTAATTTACCTAGTAGCCTAAATAGGAGGATGCTTTAATAACACATGGCTTTCCCTTGCCTCCCACAATGCAGAGGTTAAGCCCTGACTGGATAAGAGCCAGGCCACATTGCTATCACATGGGGATAGGGCACACTTTTCTTTAGTGAAATACTACCTGGTATCTTACTGGAGTTTTATTACAAGAAAGGGATAGCACAGCACTCATAACTGTGGGTTGCCCTTCCTGTTCTTCTTCGTATCGACTGTAGCGTGAAAAGGGTGTCCTAACTGGCCTAGACAAATGACAATGAGTAATGAAATACTGCCAATTTTCCATTTGACATTAAAGTGTTACTAAACACACTAAAATCAGTCTGTATACACAAAAAAGCATGCTTGATATACTCACTGTGGAACCTAATTTGTTAATCCTCTGCATTCTGTAAAAAGGCCATTTGATCCTGACTTCTCTGTCCCTCCTTTTGTTCAAATGTTCACATCTTATCTCCTGATAAGACAGACTGAACTCGTAGTCACATGCACATGATCAGTTTGGTGTGTATTGCTCGAGAGGGTTTTTTTTTTTTCTTGGGAGAGTGCATGTGATCAGCACAGGGCCAATCAGCACTGTCCAGATAGAGGTCAAGGGTTCTTCTACATCAGAAAGAAAACTCCTACTACAAGATTTATTCAGTGCTCTGCTGAAGTCACAAGACTGCTCTAACTGCTGATGAGAAAAGGTATTTAGCAGTTTATATTTAATAAAATAATTGGATTTCCATGTTGTGTGTACTGTGGGAGACCAGATATAGTGAATGCAGGGTATTGGGTTTAGTAACACTTTAACCCTATGGAAGCTTTGGCCCTTACAGAAGGCTTCCTTTTCTCAAACCCAGTGCTGAATGGAACAGTGAAGAGCAAAGGAAAGATGTGTATATGCAGATGGGAAAGGGGTCATTTAATTTGGAAAGAATTTGAGAAATAACATCAAACATGAAATTAGAACTGCAAAAAACCTAGGATATTTTTAAATAAAACAAGAGGCAAAACTTATTTTTTGCCATTTTGGATAGAGTAAGGGGGGTTATAACCACTGTCAGTTTTTTCCATCTATGTCCAATTGAGATTTTCCTTCACTTCTTGTCCTATAGCAAAAACAAGAGGTGGCAGGAAATCCTCCAAAGTGAGGAAATCCCTGGTTGTCACCAGGGTCGACAGAACTAGTGTCCCCATTGCAAGATTCCTTTATATTACTGTTCTGGGGACAACCCAAAATTTGGGCAACTATGACAAACATGACATATATAGAGAGGGCGAATCTCTCTAACAGGGGCACAGACAGACAAAAAAAACTTGACAGGTGTTCTAAGCTCTCTCCACTCTATACAAAACTAATTAAAAAAAACGTTTTGCCTTTAGTTAACGTTAAAGCGGAGTTCCACTCACCCTGTCAAAAAATAAAAGTCAGCAGCTACAAAAACTGTAGCTGCTGACTTTTAAAAAACAGCCACTTACCTGTCCCTCGGTCCCGTGGTGTGTTCCCCGCAGCTTGTTTCACCGGCCGTCCTGTATTCCAGGAGGCCGGCATCTTCAGTGTGGTACCTACTGCTCGAGTAGCGCTGCGCATCGTGAATGGTCCTGTAGTCTTCTGGGACCTGTCACGTGTCCCATAAGACTACAGGGAGGGAGGGAGGACACTTTCCACTTCCGATCGCCTACCTGTCAAATTTGGGTACCTGCTCCCCCTCTCCCCAAAGGAGCGGGGCAGCAGTCCTAAAAGTGGAAGTTCCCCTTTTGTAAATAAGTATATATATTTAATTAGAAACCAGACAGGTTTTTTTATATCTCAGAACCATAATTAAAGGTTAGGATATAACTTGTTCTTAAAATTCAGCACAAACTTGCTTGCCAATGGTTAAACCAGCATCTGCAAAACTTACAATCCAACATTTCTGGTTCAGATGTCTCTCCATGTCTGATTTTCCCCAATTATGCTCCATTGTGCAATATCATTCGGAATTATGTTGCTTCTTACCCTAGGTCAGTGGTGGGCAACCTTTTTTTTCAACTGAGCCAAATCTCGCCAAAACCACGATTGAAATTTATTTTGAGAGCCACATTTTTAAAACAGAAAATACATCCCCCATATAGTAATTCATCCCCCCATAGTAATTCATCCCCCATATAGTAATTCATCCCCCATAGTAATTCATCCCCCATATAGTAATTCATCCCCCATAGTAATTCATCCCCCATATAGTAATTCATCCCCCATAGTAATTCATCCCCCATATAGTAATTCATCCCCCATAGTAATTCATCCCCATATAGTAATTCATCCCCCATAGTAATTCATCCCCCATATAGTAATTCATCCCCCATAGTAATTCATCCCCCATATAGTAATTCATCCCCCATAGTAATTAATGCCCCATATAGTAATTCATCCCCCATAGTAATTCATCTCCCATATAGTAATTCACCCCCCATATAGTAATTCATCCCCCATAGTAATTCATCCCCCATATAGTAATTCATCCCCCATAGTAATTCATCCCCCATATAGTAATTCATCCCCCATAGTAATTCATCCCCCATATAGTAATTCATCCCCCATATAGTAATTCATCCCCCATAGTAATTCATCCCCCATAGTAATTCATCCCCCATATAGTAATTCATCCCCCCTATAGTAATTCATCCCCCATATAGTAATTCATCCCCCCTATAGTAATTCATCCCCCCTATAGTAATTGATTCCCCATATTGTGTCAATTCACTTACCTTTGCTCCGCACGTTCCTCTCGCCGTGTTCCCCGCGCCGTTTCGGTCTTCAGGGCGGACTGTGAGAGGAGAGGAGTTCGTCACGCTGCCCCGCCTACATCCTGACAGCCAATGTTTGCCACGCTCCGCGGGCCGGATTAAAAGGTCCGCTGGGCCGTATACGGCCCGCGGGCCGTAGTTTGCCCATTGCTGGGCTAGCTGCAGAGTCCTGACTTTTGGGGCGGGGCCGCCCGAGAGGAGGGAGGGGAGCGGGCGCCCGGCACACAGAAGAGCCGCAATAAAATGTGTAAAGAGCCGCATGTGGCTCGCGAGCCGCGGCTTGCCGACCACTGCCATAGGTTCACACCTAAGCGTTTTCCGCAGCGTTTTGCAGCAACGCAGCTCCATTTAACATGATTTCCTATGGGAAAAAGTTGCGTTTTTGTTTCTATAGACTTCACTGGAAATGCTGCAGAAAAGCATATAGTGCATTTTTGCTAAGTTTTTGATGTGTTTTTCATTTTAAATCTGCCTAGAAACAAGAAAATTTTTTTAAAAATTAGAAAAAAAAAAAAAATGAAAAAAGGCATCAAAAATGCATATAAATGCATCAAAAACTCAGGTGCAAAAACGCAAAACTCAACGTAAAACGCAATGCACAAATGGCTCAAACGCAAACTGCATAGGTATGAACCTAGCCTTAATGAGATTTAATAGTTTTAGTAAATGCTAATGTATGCTCTTGATAAAACATTTTTTATGAGGTCAGTTTTCCTTTCTAAAGCATTAAATTGTTGACTTTGTTTTCTCAGAACATAAATAGGCATATCCAAAACAGTTTTTACAAACAAGGGCATACCCCCTCTTCCATGTGCACTGCTCCTCTGATTTATGCACACATCATTCTTACATCGTTAGCTATTTATATTCTAATGTTTGAGCATATCATTTGTAATAGACAGCCTGGGGAAAAAATTGTGTTGGAATTTTACTACCACAGTAAAGAACATAGAAAATGGCTGCAGAGAGGAAGTATGGTGGAACGTCAGGATTTAAAATGATAACATACCACTTCACAGAATAATTGCAGATCTACCTCATGACTAGAGACTTGTAAGACAACCTTAATGGGAAACAGAAGTCACGCATAACCTAATTTCACTGTATAATATCCTTTGAATAATTGTAGTGCCAACAGCAACATTAATCTGCCAAGCCAGAACAAATAAAATGTAGCTAAAAATTAAGTTACTGTAGATGAAAACTATTATTAAATGTTGGATAGCCAGAGCCCATAGTAAATTGTGTCATATGGATGTCAACAGTGATCAGTGATGTCAACCGTGTTTAATTCTTTTGTTCTCATTTGTATCAGTGGCTATAAAATACACCATACAAGCATTCCTGTAAAAGCCAAGAAACAGTGTAATGTGGATAATTTATAAGATTCCCAACCATTAGAACCCTCACCTCTGTTTAATTTTTACACATTAGTTTAGAGCAGTGGTCGGGCAAGCCGCGGCTCGCGAGCCACATCTCTTTACATTTTATTGCGGCTCTTCTGTGTGCCGGGCGCCCGCTCCCCTCCCTCCTCTCGGGCGGCCGCCCCAAAAGTCAGGACTCTGCAGCTAGCCCAGCAATGGGCAAACTTACGGCCTGGGGGCCGTATACGGCCCAGCGGACCTTTTAATCCGGCCCGCGGAGCGTGGCAAACATTGGCTGTCAGGATGTAGGCGGGGCAGCGTGACGAACTCCTCTCCTCTCACAGTCCGCCCTGAAAGACCGAAACGGCGCGGGAACACGGCGAGAGGAACGTGCGGAGCAAAGGTAAGTGAATTGACACAATATGGGGAATCAATTACTATAGGGGGGATGAATTACTATAGGGGGGATGAATTACTATATGGGGGATGAATTACTATAGGGGGGATGAATTACTATATGGGGGATGAATTACTATGGGGGATGAATTACTATATGGGGGATGAATTACTATATGGGGGATGAATTACTATGGGGGATGAATTACTATATGGGGGATGAATTACTATGGGGGATGAATTATTATATGGGGGATGAATTACTATGGGGGATGAATTACTATATGGGGGATGAATTACTATGGGGGATGAATTACTATATGGGGGATTAATTACTATGGGGGATGAATTACTATATGGGGGATGAATTACTATGGGGGATGAATTACTAATGGGGGATGAATTTACTATATGGGGGTGAATTACTATATGATGAATTACTATGGGGGTGAATTACTATATGGGGGATGAATTACTATGGGGGATGAATTACTATATGGGGGATGAATTATGAATAAATTAATAACCATTAGAATTACTATATGGGGGATGAATTACTATGGGGGATGTTTTATATGGGGGATGTATTTTTTTAGAATGGCGAGATTTGGCTCAGTTGAAAAAAAAGGTTTGCCCACCACTGGTTTAGAGCAATCTTTCTCAACCAGGGTGCCCAGGCACCATGGGGTGCCTTGAGGTTTCTTCAGGGGTGCTTGGTAAAATGTCTAAAAATTGCCCAAAACTTGTATACAAGCCAGCAGGTGGACAAGCCTGCCTTTTAGTTAATAATACACCTCTAATGTTGGGTGTCCTATATGTGTGGATGTTGCTGTGTTATAAAAACCATTAGAACAGTTTTTCACATTTTAGAATGGGATGCCCTTTTAAAATTATGGACAGTCTTGATGCACCCTATTTTAGAATGGGTTGCCTCAAGACTATCCATAATTTTAAAGGGTGCGTCAGGACTGTCCATACTTTTTAAAGGGTGTCTTGACTGAAAAGAGATTTAGAAACACTGGTTTAGAGTACAGATCATGCATAGTTCAGATCTGCAAATACACATTTGGAGAGAGTTACTAAAACTGGTGCACGCAGAATCTGGTGTAGCTGTGTATGGTAGCCAATCAGCTTTTAACTTCAGCTTGTTCAATTAAGCTTTGACAAAAAACTTGGAAGCTGATTGGTTTCTATGCAGAGTTGCATGAGATTTTGCATTCTCCAGTTTTAGTAAACCCCCCCCCCCATTGAATATCCCTCACATGTATCTCCTTCCCTAGTAATAAGCTGCTTTCACATACTTAAAGTGTTACTAAACCCAGGACCCTGCATTCACTCTGTCTTGTCTCCCACAGTACACAGAACATGGAAATTAAATTATTTTAGTAAATACAAACTGCTAAATACCTTTTCTCATCAGCAGTTAGAGCAGTCTTGTGACTTCAGCAGAGCACTGGTTAAAGCTTGTAGGAGGAGTTTTCTTTCTGCTCTAGGAGGATGTGAAACCTCTGACCCTCTGTCTGGACAGTGCTGATTGGCTCTGTGCTGATCACATGCACTCTCCCAAGAAAAAAAAGACCTCTCTAGCAATACACACCAAACTGAGCATGTGCATGTGGCTACGGGTTCAGTCTGTCTTATCAGGTGAACATCTGAGCAAGAGGAGGAGCAGAGAAGACAGGATCAAACTGACTTTCTACACAATGCAGAGGATTAACCCTTTTGGTGAGTATAACAAGCATGCTTTACTGCATATACAGCCTGATTTTACTGTTGTGGGTTTAGTCCTCATGCACACTGGCCGTTTTTACAGCTGCTGTTTTTGGCTTTTGACGTTTTCTTCTAGAGCCAGTAAACCCCCCAGGATGTTATGCTATGTGTCCATGCACACATAGACTGTAATCGACGTTTTTTGGCTGGAAAAAAACGCTGGACTAGTGGGTTTCTAGAGGAGTTTTTAAGCTGTTAAAACACCCTAATGCTGAAAAGCGTGACAAAATGTGGTAAATTGAGGTATATCATGGTAAATCGTGGTTTAGAAGCCTGGAAAACATTGCACCAGCAATCAGTATACGGTACTCCTGCAGGCTGTCAGTGTGAACTGTCTGCCCATACATTATAGGAGCAGGCAGTTTCACACTCACAGGAAATATCAATGAGCTACCACAGTGCTCAAAAGTGCTGTGGTGGTTCATTGAGAACTACAAGCCAACAACCACAAAGGCTGATGGTACTCGTAGTTTCCCATTCACAGAACTCTGCAGCCTGGCTGTGTTTTTTTTTTTTTAAATTGTGACAGCTAGCCAGGGGAGAAGATCCCCTGCTAGCTGTCACAATTGGGGATCGGGGAGGGGACAGGGGAGGGTCCGGTGCTAAAGTGACATGTTACATTTTACACCCTGAGTATGTGAGTAGCATGTAACATGTTATGAAAGGTGAACGTATCTAAGACTTTATAGAAGAAAGATGTCTGATCGTTGCACTACATAGACAATCAGGTCAATGGTAAATGGCACATATTTCCAAAGACCACCTAGCCAGATGCAAGCAAGAGGCTTATAAGATTTATTTACAAGTTTAAAAAATATATTTTTTCTTTCCAGATTTTAATAAATGTGATTAGAATCAAAATGCATATTTTGGACAACTACCTGCCTCTCTAATAAACAGTGATCAAATTTTTCATTGAAACAAAGGCACATACAATTTGTAAAATGTCTGCGTTGACTGACTGGAAACAAGTGGTGAAGGTGCAGATTTCTAACAAGTGTAGTGCTGACCGCCGAAGGGGACTCTGAGAATGCATCCAGGTCTCCCACAATAGTACAGAGGTTGCCAGTCATAGAAGCACACCGATAATTGACACAGTCCCAAGCATACCGATAATTCAGTCTCTGCCTAGGGGATGCCTATTTAGTATTTATTGCTAAAGAACTTATTAGTAGAGGGGTTTTGGGTCACAGGATACTCCAAAACATTAATAGCAATACTAGGAGGACAAACTTCTCACTAGTCTTTTCAATAGCAGATTTTTCTGAAGGTAACAGGGTATGGCCAGTATAGCTACCCTACAGCAGCAGTCCATATAGCCACTTCTCTATTCTACATTTGCAAAACAGTGTCTCCACAGTGTCCCAGGATCTGTCGGCCACCCAGCATCCACAGGTAAATCCTCAATGAGGGAAATAAGATCCTTCTCCAGACCAGGATTGAAAGACAGTGCCTTCCAGAAAGTATAATCTTTTGGCAATCTTCTGTAGGCCCTCAGTCTGGCAGATGTTGAGGCCCAGACTGCAGTCTCTTGTCTGAATGATTCTTTTCCTAGGGACAGCAGCCCTAAGAGGACTGAAACCCACCCAGACAAGGAAATAACACTCTGCACAGGCCTTCTGAACATTTATCACCCCACCAGCCACCTTCTGGACACCTCCTTCAAGGGATTGGCTGAAGAATGATAAATATTCATACTAGGTATCTGAGTCTCCCTGCCCAATATTCTGGAGCTTCTTCCAGAAGCAGGTGGAAGAAAGTAAACACCCAGCTTCAGAAACCCTGAGAAGACCAAAACAATCAATAGCTGCACCATTAACTGGAATGGAACCAAAACTAAATTTGCCTAGTAAACTAACTGAAGGAGGGCACTACACAGGCATTTCACCTAATCAACATAAGCCTTTCCTGGAATGTTGTAAATTATACTTTTCTATAATTAGAAAGCTGATTTGAATCTCCTACTCCTAATAGTGGCCATTTACATATCAAGTTGTGATTGATCTTAGTACATGTGATCACAAACAAGCAAATATTGACCTATGCAACACATATAGTATAGAGGGGGTACTGAAAATACGATGCATCAGAGACAATCTTTTAAAAAATTTTCACCTGGTTCACACTAGTATGATTTCTGATGCAATTTGAATCCCACAGAATATCAAGACAAAGGAAATCACATTGTTTTCAATGGTGCCCATTCACATCAGTATGGCTTGGCACAAAGCAATATTGGAAAAGATTTCTGCTCTACTTGGTTCAATTGCAGCACAATTTTGACATAATAGTCTTCAATGAAAATGTACAGAAATTGCATTACATGCGATTCTGCTGTGAGTTTGAAGGCAATTTAATTTTTTTAACCCCCAACTCACCTCCCAGGACAATCCTTGGCCACTGCAAAAGAGTAGTAATAGTAATAATAGTAGAAGTAGTAGTATGCAGCAGTACCCAAGGCATTAAACATCGTCAAAAAATGCACTAGTAAAACTGTCAAATAAAAACAACTCACATTATATAATCGCTCCTAAAAAACACATCAAAATCGCATCACATTAGTGTGAACCAGGCCTTATCAATCTATATTATGATCTGTTCTCAATCGCACTTGCAAATAATTGATTAGAAGCAATTAATAAGATTTTGCCACAGCTAATAGACTTGGCAGACCTGAAATTGGTTAAGAGGTCACTATATCATAGGAATGATCAATGTAAACAGCTAGTGGATTTTATCATGTTTAAGAACAATTCCTTTAAAGCTTCATGCATGCCTTATGAAATTTGGAAACATGCTTATGTGCAAAATGCAAACCGGCCCCTCAGTGCATTGTATCTTAGCCAAAGGGACAGGTTGTATCCTAATGATTGCAAGGCTAATGTAGCTTTTAGTAGTATTGTCTATATCACATTCCATATGAACATTTGGACATTCTTCAAAAACTGCCATTAATAATTTATATAGTGCTAGCATCTTCCACCACCCTATACAATGTAGTTATTGTACAATGTGATCAGTTAAACATGACACTTTAGATCATCTGATATATGCCATGCATGAGGCTACAATATGCTTCCCCTGTTGTGGCTAATCTACAAATCACTCAACATAATTTTGTACAAAAATACAAATTTGGAGAAGCAACCAAAGATATGAAAGGCAGACCAAGCCTTAAACACCGCAATAAAACTCAAACTCTGACTACTGAAAATACACTACAGGATTGATTAAAGCGGAGCTCCACCCAAAAGGGGAAGTTCCACTTTAATGCTTTGTCCCTCACTCCCCATTAAAGGATTGGCACCTTTGGGGAGCGGGTACCCGAATTTGACAGGTACCCGCTCCCACTTCCGCTGCGAACTTCCACAAGCGAAAGTTGTCCCCCCCCCTCCCCATAGTCTTCTGGGACACGAGACAGGTCCCAGAAGACTACGGGGCCATTCACAAAGCACAGTGCTTCTCATGCATGCGCAGTGGGCACCCAGCTGTAAAGCCACAAGCTGTCACATCCGGGTGCCCACACTAAAGATGCCGGCACCAGGGAGAGAAGACGACCAGTGAAACCAGTGGTGGTGAGGACACCGCTGGACCGAAAGACAGGTAAGTGGCTGTATTTTAAAGTTTTTATAGCTGCTGCCTTTTTTGTTTTTCCAGCTGGAACTCCGCTTTAACTTAAGGCGAAATTGACTTTTCACTTTGCAAGGGAAGTTGCACTTTGCAAGAATTTTCCCTTGAGATTAGTGAATGAGATGAAGCTCTACTGACTTCCATCTTCCTATCATAAGTAAGCAGAAATGCTGTTTTTTTTTGTATTTTCCTTGCATGTGACTAGGTAGTCTTTTCAAAGTTAAATTCCAAAGCATTAAGTGAGCTCAAAGGATCATTTCCATGCAAAATGCAACTCCCCTTGCAAAGTAAATAGCCTTTAGTAAATCAATTCCTATATATTCCATTTTAAGACCAATGTTTTAAAGTGAAGCAAAATTTAAATATTCTGACTAGAATCTATGCAACTTAAAAAAATTGTGTTTTTGTCATTATCTGTTGAGATTCCTTATTTTTCAAAATCCACTAATTTTTTTACACTAATAGGAAAAGTGATGTTTAGTGTTTTTTTTTTTCCAAAGTGGAACTGTTACTAGAATACCAATGTCTTTGGAAACACACCAAGATGAAATCATATTAAAATGTCATATTGTATCTTGTTCTTACTTCTTTTTTCTGTTTACTATGGCTCTGCTTATGATTCCAGAGATACATATTAGATCTCCCTAAAACTGCTTTCACATTGATCCGCCACAAAAACACAGCAAAAATGCATATGTTTTTTTAACGTGCTTTTGCCGTGCTTTCTGAGCATTTTTAACCACTTGAGCCCCAGAGAATTTACCCCCCTTAATGACCAGGCCTTTTTTTGCTGTTTGGCGCTGTACTAATTCAAATGATAATTGCGCGGTCATGCAATACTGTACCCAAACAAAATTTACGTCCTTTTTTTCACACAAATAGAGCTTTCTTTTGGTGGTATTTTATCACCTGTGCGCTTTTTATTTTTTGTGCTATAAACAAAAAAACCACGAAAATTTTGAAAAAAAAACAATATTTTCTACTTTCAGCTATAAAAAATATATCGTAAACTCAAAGTTAGTCATAAATTTAAGCCAAAATGTATTCTGCTACATGTTTTTGGTAAAAAAAATCCCAATAAGTGTATATTGATTGCTTTGTGTGAAAGTTATAGCGTTTACAAACTATGGTATAGATACTGTAATTTATGCCTTTTTTTGCTATACAGCGCTGCACTAATTCAAATGATAATTGTGCGGTCATGCAATGCTGTACCCAAACAAAATTTACGTCCTTTTTTTCACACAAATAGAGCTTTATTTTGGTGGTATTTGATCACCTGTGTGCTTTTTATTTTTTGCGCTATAAACAAAAAAACCACAGAAATTTTGAAAAAAAAAAAAACAATATTTTCTACTTTCAGCTATAAAAAATATATCGTAAACTCAAAGTTAGTCATAAATTTAAGCCAAAATGTATTCTGCTACATGTTTTTGGTAAAAAAAAATCCCAATAAGTGTAAATTGATTGCTTTGTGTGATAGTTATAGCGTCTAACAAACTATCGTATAGATGCTGTAGTTTATGCCCTTTTTTGCTAATACAGCGCTGCACTATTTCAAATGATAATTGCGCGGTCATGCAATGCTGTACCCAAACGAAATTTACGTCCTTTTTTTCACACAAATAGAGCTTTCTTTTGGTGGTATTTTATCACCTGTGCGCTTTTTATTTTTTGCGCTAAAACAAAAAAAAAACCACGAAAATTTTGAAAAAAAAAATATTTTCTACTTTCAGCTATAAAAAATGATATCGTAAACTCAAAGTTAGTCACAAATTTAAGCCAAAATGTATTCTGCTACATGTTTTTGGTAAAAAAAATCCCAATAAGTGTATATTGATTGCTTTTGTGTGAAAGTTATAGCGTTTACAAACTATGGTATAGATACTGTAATTTATGCCTTTTTTTGCTATACAGCGCTGCACTAATTCAAATTATAATTGCGCGGTCATGTGCATTAGCGGGCAAACTGGCGCTATCTAGGAGGGGTGCTAACACTATCGGAAGTCACCAGTGACACTAATACAGTGATCAGTAAAAATCTGTTCACTGTAATCAATGACACTGGTGACAGGGCAGTGAAGGGGTTAACTGGGGGGGGGGGGGGGGGCGATCAAGGGGTTAAATGGGATTTCTGGTGTGCACTAGCGGGCAAACTGGCGCTATCTGGGAGGGGCGCTAACACTATCGGAAGTCGCCAGCGACACTGATACAGTGATCAGTAAAAATCTGTTCACTGATCAATGACACTGGTGACAGGGCAGTGAAGGGGTCAACTCGGGGGGGGGGCGATCAAGGGGTTAGACAGGATTATTGGTGTATTAGCTGGCAATCTGGCGCTATCTGGGAGGGGCGCTAACACTATCGGAAGTCGCCAGCGACACTGATACAGTGATCAGTAAAAATCGGTTCACTGATCAGTGACACTGGTGACAGGGCAGTGAAGGGGTTAACTGGGGGGGAGGTTAAGGGGTTAAATGGGATTACTGGTGTACTAGCGGGCAATCTGGCGCTATCTGGGAGGGGCGCTAACACTATCGGAAGTCGCCAGCAACACTGATACAGTGATCAGTAAAAATTGGTTCACTGATCAGTGACACTGGTGACAGGGCAGTGAAGGGGTTAACTGGGGGGGGGGGGGGCGCGATCAAGGGGTTTAAACGGGATTACTGGTGTACTGGCGGGAAATCTGTCGCTATCTGGGAGGGGCGCTAACTCTATCGGAAGTCGCCAGCGACACTGATCAGTAAAAATCGCTTCACTGATCAGTGACACTGGTGACAGGGCAGTGAAGGATTAACTGGGGGGGGGGGGCGATCAGGGGGTTAAATGTGTCCTAGAGTGTTCTAACTGTAGTGTAGTGCTTGTGTACTCACTTTTTGGATGTCTTCTTCTCTGTCTGGAACGGAATGTGTCCAGGCAGAGAAGAATGACATCATATCCTGCCCTGTGTATTTGTCAACACAGGACAGGATAGGACAGGGACCGATCATGTGATTTCAGCCAGAAATCACTGGCTGAAATCTAATGATTGATCCCTCCTGGATCAAATCGTGTCACCCGCGGGTCGGCGGGAGCGCGCGCGTGGGCCCCCTGCCAGCGAAAGTGTCGGGAGCGCAGAACCCGTTTTAAAAATGTGGTTTTGCGCTCCACTGCCGCCCTGCACACGTATATACACAGTGGCAGGACGGCAAGCGGTTAAAGGACACGTGACTTAAAAACCGCCCCAAAAATGCTTCTCAGAGGAGTTTTTGAGGCACTTTTCAAGCGTATTTCAGGCGTTTTCTATTGATTTCAATGGGAAAAGGCATTTTTGTGGCTTTTTTTAACTCCCCAACATGCCCCAAAGATGCCGCAAGCAGGAGCTTTTACACCGCTCCACAAGTGCAACACCTGTGTGAAAACACATACATAGGGAAGCATTTTTCTTGAGTTTTTCAGACGCTTTTTTTTAACGCAAAAACACTTCAAAAATTCCTCAGTGTGAAAGTAGCCTAAGGAAGCAAAATGCGTTGGAGTTATCTACATCAAGGAGTTATACATATCACATTCTCCTTATGTACTTTGTGATCTTGAAGCTATTCATACTAAGCTTGATGCTTGTACTGTTACAACATGCAGTGGTATATATGTGTTTAGAGAGCGTGTTGACCCTCACTGTTTATACTACAATCCTGTATTTTTAACATTGTACAATAAAGTTATGATTCTTTAACATTTGTCTCTGTTATTGGTGGTATGGTACCTAAAAAGTCCCAGTAGTTTTTCTAGTTAGAGTCAAACTTATTAATATGCATACATTACATTAATTTAGGATTTATTTTTAAAAGATGAGGTTCTAGTCAATAGATTTTGCTTACTTTCATCCAGTAGTAATAAATGAGCTTGTGAATGTCCAGCATCATCTTGACAACAGATCAGCTTTCTGCAATGTCCAGTCCAACAATTGCTGCACAATGAAGGAAGTCTATTTTTTAATTTTTATTTTTTTTTACTTTTTTTGAGTTTGAGAATGCAGTTGACTGTGAGGAGGGCTGGAACCAGGGGCGGACTGACCATTTGGAAACTCGGGCACTGCCCGAGGGCCCGGGGTCAGTAGGGGGCCCCATGAGATGCCCCTGGTACCTTTTTCATAGGCTTTTTTGAGTTTGGGCAAGGACACAGGGGCCCCATGATCCCCTATTGCCCGGGGGCCCCATGAGTGTCAATCCGCCCCTGGCTGGAACATTTGGCTAACAAGACAATAACATTAGTCAGTTTGATAACATGAAATAAAGTTAGGTTAATGATACCGAGTCTTTTTATACCCAAGAGAATAGCATTAAGTGGATGACGGTCAGTCTTTTTTTTTTTAATTCCTTATTTAGGTCAGAATTTTCTTACATTCCACAAGGAATAACAGAGCAATGGGAAGCAACAGAGGTGGAAAAGGCTTTTCAGTACACAATCCAGTGAGGGTCCTTCAATATAATAATGAAACTATACATGAAAAAAGCAAGGGTGGGCATATTCACATTTAGTCACAATTGATGCAGTGGGGTTTATTTACTAAAACTGGTATCTCAGAATCTTGTGCACTTCTGCATAGAAACCAATCAGCTTCAAGGTTTTATTGCTAAAGCTTAACTGAGCAAGTTGAGGTTAGAAGTTGATTGGCTGCCATGCACAGGTACATGAGATTCTGAGTGAACCACCCTTAGTAAATAAATCCTACTGTTTC